TAGAACATGCAGGGGCAAATACAGTAATAGAATGAGACAGCTGAATGACGAGTCAAACAAGAAAGAGTTTTGGTTAATGGAACTAGAGATAATAGCTAAGAGAATAGATAACAGAAAAAAATACAACTTTATGATGGTAGGAGAGAGTCTGAAGTTTGGCAGGTAGAGCGGGTCCAACTATGTTTACAATGAGTTTTTGGACCTTGACTAAAAGAGGAAGAGCACTGTAGAAGATCCAGCCCAAATATGACAACAGTCTTCCATACAGGGGCGAATAAAAGATTTCTAATGGTGGAAAATGTAATCAGGAGTAAGAAAATGACAAGCATGATAAAGAGAAGCTTAGCAGATGTTAGCTTTGCAATTGATTGGTTTCCATTAGAGTCAGTAATGATTTCTAATCATAATAAATAGTAATAATGATATTTATATAAATGGTAATAAATATAAAAAACCTCAAATAGTAGTGAATAATAATCCAAGAAGATATAAAGTAAGTGAAATTAAGTGAGAGAATTACCATTCATCATTCATTCATGTTGACAATATCGTTGTTTGCAGTAAATAACTGAGTTTTGTTGGATTTAAAATTTACAAGCTATTGCAAGCCCCTGTTACAGAAGAGAGATCAGATTCAAAAGTTACTGGAAATAAAAAGGTTTGACCTTTAAGAATGACTTAGTGACCTTTAAGAATGATAAAGTGGTTAGAAAGAAATGATTTAATAATCTCATAAACTTTTCCAGATACATCATAAGAAGCAAGCTTATCTAGAAGACCAGCATTTCAAACTTTTTCAAAAGCTTTAGATATGTCAAGAGCAATAGCCTTGCTGTCTCCATCTAATGCACTGTAAAATCTTTCAGTCACAGCGGCCATAGAACAATAAGATTGGAAATCATATTGATTGTCAGAAAGTAAGTTATTAGACTTAATGATAATGTTTTAGAAATTTGTTGATCAAAGACCTTGCTAATAACAGATAGAAGACTGATTGAACAATAGCTGGAGGGGTTAAAATTTTCTTTAGAGTTTTTAAAAACTATCACTGGGTACAGCACTGCATCAGACAGCACCTTTTTACATCGGTTTCTTCCAATAATAAATGGCGTTTGTTCTCCAGAGAGTTATTTTTTTGAAAAAGATGAATAAGATGATAACGATTAGATATTGCAGCTGCACAAAAAGGTGTAAACCATGGAGAAGAATGAGATTTGATTTGGAAACGATAAGGAGTAAAAGCTTTCATTCCTGCTTGGATCCGTAGCTTATGTAGAAGGGGCATTTATCAGCAGAGAGAGAAAAGACATCAGCCCAAAATCTGTCACAAAGAAAACCACAAAAAAAAATCCCTGTCAGCTTTAGGATAGTAGTAAGTAGTGGGATGGAGGTCTCCATCGCACTACTTACTCAGTCTAATGAAGAAGTGCGAGATGAAAGATTTATAAAGATTATTGCATTGTTGGGACCACCTCAAGGAGAAACTAAACACAAACTAGGGTCAGAGACAAGACACAAATCAAGGAGTAAAGGTAAGTGATTAGGGTTGTCTGAGAAACGAGTCACAAAGAAATCTATCTAAGTAAAAGACTGAGAAATACAGAAGCTATGGGCTTATGTGCCACTAGGGTCAATGGTGTGAGAGCTGAGCCATTCAGTGTGATGAGCATTAAAGTCAACAATAACAACAATATTGGCAGAGTGGTTAAGAGAGCATGGTCAATTTGATCAGAATTTACAGCTAAAAGAGTGCAGCCTTGAGAAGAAGGAGAACAATGAAGAACAAAAAGAAAAGTGAGTGAAGAAGTGCTAAGCGGAAGCACATTAAAGAATAGTCAAAAAATCCAAACCTGATTTCTCAACAAATAAGTGAATTGATACTTAAGTATACCCCCAAGCCAAGCATGTGGCTATTGGAGTCTTTGCAAATCAATTGGTACCTATCAATACTGAGATCTGAAGAAAGAATTTAAATTAGTCTCACAAAGAGCAAGCAAGTCTGGTGGAATTTCAAAAGGTAAAATTTAACTGATGGAAAGGTACTTTGAAGACCATGAATATTTGTGAAAGATATATTGAAACAATTAACTTAAGGTTGTAACATAGGACTCTATCCATGTGCAAAATGGTACTGTTAATACTCTGATATTTTACAGCTGCTGATGAAATCAGTCTCTCTATGAGTTACCACATAGTTCGGGAAACCCTACTACCAGCCGGCTTTAGAACCATTAAACTGATTTTTAAAGCTGTACCATCATTAGAAGATAACAGGAAGATAACTGTAAAGGAGGGGGCAAAAAAAAATCTATGAGTAGAGTCAAGAAGATGATTTATCATCCTAGGCACAAAATAATGTAATACAGATTTACATCTATGCCAGCCTAATAGATGAAGAAGGGTTTCACAGCTGGTCAACAGAATTGTTCTGTTTACCCTTAAAGTCTTTGCCTAGGAGGTCTTCTATAAGAAAGTAGCTGGATGCAGTCAACATTTACCCAAGGTGAGTATTTTGGTGATGAGACAAACCCCTTAACATTTAATTAACCAAGAGCTCCAAGACATGCAAATATCGCTGGATAATCCTGAACTATACCTGGCTTGGAGTAGTTAAAAGAAATAAATTCCTGTTAGCAGTACTTTAAAGCATTAAAGGGAATATTTTTAAAATACATTAGGAAAAGCATTATATCTAATAGAATACTAGAAATAAGGTGGGTGTAGGTTTTATAGTTGGAGTCACTTGTTGGTTACTGAGCTCACACTGCATCAGAAATTTAAACAGAACACAAATATACTTTTAGTAACTTATGAGTGAGTGAACACTGCGCCATAGTTTCATATAGAACACAAACATACAAATAGCAACTTAAGGGTGAGTGAACACTGCGCCTGTGGTTTAAACAGAACACAAATATACATATATTGTAAATATATGTGCCTTTGTAAATATATACATATATTGTATATATAAGTACCTTTGTAAATTTTTGATTAACAGGTGAGCTAACTCAGTAGTTAAGACACCTCCAACTAAATAAAAGACACAAAAAATTTATAATTATATATAGCTATGCACTAAAGTTTAATCGAGATGGTAATTTCAATAAAACTTTTCAGGATTTTTCCAACCTAAAAAATCAGGAAAATTAGTTTAATTAATTTTTTTTATTTTTAAAAGAACAATCAGTTAGCTATACAATTAACATTAATAAGATAAGATAGTTAAAAAAAATACTTCAAAAAGTTAAATAATTATATAATCCTAAAATGAGTTGCATAAAGGTTTAATCGAGTTAAGATTTAGAAAATAAAAAATACAAATTAAATATATAAAGTGTCCTCCTTTAGTTCTATAACAAAGAACTCGCCCTGCATTGACTCAACCAATTTCATGCACATCTCATGTGGCACCTTTTGTAGCAAATGTTCTTTGCATCATTTTTGTCTTTTGCATCGATCCATGATTGACAGAATAAGCTTTCTTATTGAAATGTAAGACCCAATACCTTTTTTTACTAATGTTTTTCAAAAGAGTTCTCTGCTTACATTTTGATTAGAAAATGATTTTCTCTACTGGTTCTGAATATGCTACTTTCCTAGCTTCAGTGGTCTTCCAGAAAAAGACATGTCAACAAAGTTACCTGTCAGCTCCCAGGTTTTGACTATTTTTTACATGCTAAATTCAGAAACATTCATAAGTTTACTAATTTCAACGTTGTTATGATTCTTTGATTTGACCAGTCCAATAATTTGCTATTTAATGCTATTACAGTTATTCTTTAGATAGCTTTTAGCAATTAATTTTTTTTTTTATAATTTTAAAATTATTTTTTTACTCAATAATCATGAGTACTCACTATATTTATCATTTAAAGTGATAATTAAGTATAATAATTAGTTATCCAGTGTGAAAAATGTATAATTAATTAACTCGATTAAACTTTTATGTCATCAGTAAAATACATCGTCTTACGTTCGATTAGTTTTACAGAAGTAGTGTAGTATGTGTGAATTTTTTTTTTGATCTTTTTTATCAATACAAACATATATAGCAAAAAACAAAAGAGATAAACTTAAAATCTATATCTGTTAAATTTTAATGTTAGAAAACTTGTTTTAACTTTTTGTTCTTTTTTTTTGTCTGTATATATATATATATATATATATATATTGCTATAGGCATGACAGATATTAGATGGTATTTATATATTTATATATATTGTTATAGGCATGACATATGGTATATATAATACTATAGGCATGACAGATATGATGACAGGGAGTACACTTCTTTTAACACTTGCTTAGAAAGCGAATCCTATGAGAAGGAATAAAAACTTCCATACCTGCCTAAATCCAGGAGACTATTTTAAATATTTGAAAATTTTATTCCTCCTTCTAAATAGTCTTTACATTCATTTCTGATTCTTACCCAACAGCATGTAAAATCTAATTCTGTTATCATATCTCCCAGGTCTACATAACTGGACGGCTTTATTGATCACTTTTTGCAGTCAATGTGTCGCATAAACTTTTAATAATATTTTTTGATACACCTTTTTTATACTATTAACTCCTCATGGAAATCATATATTCAATCCATTTTTCAAAATTAACCACTCATGGAAATCATATATTCAATCCAATGGTCTGGGAAATGGAATAGAATGGTCCAGTGAATGAATTATATAGAGGCTGTATATAAATGTTTGAAAAATTGGCACATAAAAAAAAGCAGAAAATAATAAAATAAAAAACAATTTTTTTCTTTCATTATTCTTTTTAAAAAGCCTTTCCTATCTAATAATGACTTGCCCAACTCCAATCCCTCAATCAATGTATGTACCAAAACCCCCATAGCTCACTACTTCAGTATGACGTCATTATTGGGAATCTGATGCTGCATTTATACATTTATCCATGCATATTTTAAAATAGTAGAGGTTGGTTTAATCTATTAATCCTAATTAATAAATAGTGATCTGTTTGTTTTTTAGATTAAAGGAATTTTCTGATCAACGTAGGAAGTTAAAACCAAATCGTAATAATGAAGCTAGCAGGAATCCTGTACGCATTTTAAATAATCGACATGAATTGAGAAGCGTTTCTGATGATGAAGATGAAAATAATGAAGATATAATAACTAAAGAAGTGAACAAAGAAATTAAAGAGGTTTCTTTGAAAAATATTAATAAATTGTTAAAGATGTGCAGGGCTCAAAATAGCTACAGACATTGAGACCCTTTCAAGACCATCCTGAAAAGATAACTAAGCATTGATTATTTTGTTGGACCAAATTATTGAGAGTTCCAACCCATTTTTAGGTGGATTAACAGACTAGTTATATAGGCGTTATTATCCATTTGCTGTTTTGAGCCCTCTATATTATTTTATTTTGAGAATATTAAGTTTATTTAAATTATTATAATAATTATAATAATTTAATTTAATTCTTATAATAAAGATAATAAAACAAAAAAAAAATTAAGAAAATAAAAACAATACTGTTAGTGTAATTGTTTTAAAATTTAATGACCATGGCTCCACACTTGTTTGGTTTGGACAGCAACTGCATCAGGCAATTAAAAGTATCACAAATAGTTACAGTAAACTTATTTTTTATGTCTGTCTGTTAGTGTACTCAGTACCAAGTACTGGAACTAAATAGCCAGCTTTAGGTACCCTCAGAAACTGCCATCATACATATATTCATTTAAAAGAAATAAATATAAAACATATAATTAATATTATATACACTTATTACTTATATCGCAATCCATATAACTATGGGAAATAATTAGCAACTAGCTTTAGCCTTTTTGTTTATTGCTATATATAAATATTTTTATGTATTAAATGTTTAACTTTTATTATTTTATTGTTTTTTTGTTTTGGTGTTTTGTTGTTGTCACATTTAATTTAACTAGTTTATATTTTGTTTTCCAGGTAAATGATAAGAAAGACTTCAAAATTATAGGGAGAACCAATGGTTTAAACACTGGAAAAATTAGGTGTAAGTGAATTTTTTTTTTTTTTTTTTTTTTTTTTCATTTTACTTCACCTCCTCAAGGCCAAGAAGGCCACTACAGACGAGGAGGCTACTTTTTTTTTTAAATTATTTTTAAAAGCAGTGAAAATGTTTTTCATATTATACTGTTCCAACTCAAATAAAGATGAACTTCCAAAAATTTCTGTGATCCACAATGCATAGTCAAAATCTAAAAATAAACAATTGTTATGAACTAATACATAGTGCTAGACTTTTTGAAAATATTGATAAAAAAAAAGTTTTGCATGTATATACATGTTGAACACACCCAAGAGAGGCTTAAGATTAACCTAATCACCATTTTTAATTAATATAAACTTATTTAAACTAAAGTTTTTACAAGTGAGGGTTTAATAGGTTTAATAGCAAAATTTATTTAATCCTAAAGCACTTTTGGAAATCAAGAAATAAAAACTACAAAATTAATAAATGTGGATCCAAGTAAGTTTGCAGTGGTAATTCAAAAAATACTTAATTTGCAATTAATTTAATGCTTTTGGCTTTTTGAAAATTAAAAGTAATCAAAATTGACATATTTTTTTTTTTGTCAAAAGAATCATTTTTTACCATTCGTACTCTCAAAGCCTATATATGTGTTTATAGTATATATGTTACTGTTACCCGCAGTACCAGGTATTAGCTAAAAGCTAATGTTTTAATATAGTATAATATTGCAACTCTGAGTTTTATGTGTTACCACAATCTTTAGGCTAGTAGTAAAAATTTAGTTTTGCTACCGTTTGTTTAGTAGATGTTACGGTTTATATTGGTATTTTAGAAATGTGTATATATAAATATATGCATATATGTGTGTGTGTATATATTCACATATATGTACACACACATATATATACATACATAGATACATACATACATACATACATACATACATAGATACATACATACATACATACATACATACATACATACATACATACATACATACATACATACCAGTGGTGTACACTGGATTTTTAGATGTTTAAGTTTTGACACTTACCGGCATTGTACAAACTCCAAACTTTTGTATGCTTATGCTTATGTCAAATGAGAATGTTTTGCAAAGAGTTTAGTGATTAGAGCTTGGGGACAAAAAAAAAAACAATTTTTGGGCCCACTCAGCCCTTAATATGGGAGCAACAAGTTTATAAAATAATTTTTTTAGTATTTTTATCTAAGTTTATATTCATCAACAAATTTCAAATTTCATGCAATTATCTCTTATTTTTCAAAAATTATGACCATATAAAGTTTTTACTCCCCTCAATTTGAGGGGGCTGTAAACTTTGTAGGGTCATAAAAACTAAACACTAAGAGGTTATTGCATGAAGTTTAAAATTTGTTGATGAATATAAACTTAGTTAAAAATACAAAAGAAATTATTTTATAAACTTGTTGCTCCCACATTAAAAGCTGGGTGGGCCCAAAAATAGGGTTTTTTTTGTCCCCTAGCTCCAATCACTGCAACTCTTTGCAAAACATTCTCATTTGACATAAGCATGAATATACAAAAGTTTGGAGTTTGCACAATGCCTGTAAGTGTCAAAACTCAAACATCTAAAAATCCAGTGTACACCACTGCATACATACATACATACATACATACATACATACATACATACATACATACATACATACATACATACATACATACATACATACATACATACATACATTCAAATTTATTGTATCTGCATATGAATAAAATTTTCATTTTAAGGTAGTTATTTTTAGTTCTAATTTTTTTAATTGGAGAGTTATGTAGTTTTTAAGCATTTAGCAGTTTATTGTAACGCTCTAAATTAAAATTAAATATAAATTTATAAACTTAAATAATAGTTCTACAAGTATGAAAAATTACTGTAATTATCAAAAAAATGTTCAGTATTCAGCTTAGTTAAAGGGTAATGTGCAATTTTTATGCTTTGTTAAACAAAATAAATCTAAGCTGGAGGTTCTTTTTCTTTTTTACAGTAACAAAAAGATTTTGAAGACACTTGATCACTTGTTCTGCATACTGATTTGCTCTGAGAATTTCCAGTCCTGATGCTTTCTGATTTCAAAACCTGATTCTTTCAATGAGTTAATCACTTTTTCCTGACCATACAAGCTGCTTCTGATAACCATCTGCATTGTACGTTTGGTCAGTAAACCAATGGTCCACCCATCTTTAGAAGATGAATCTACAAATATTGAGTAGTGAGTCTCTTCTATTTGGTAGAAGAATAAATGCCAAAAGAGCTGTATTGCTCAGGAATTCCATCTTGCATTGTTTAATTTAGGAATTTTCTGAAACTTTATTTTAGGAAATACTCCAGATTTTTTTCATTCATTACTAGGTAAAAGACTCTGTCAAAAACATGATGTTTACAACCATTTAACTGTTGTTCTTCCAGTTTCTTTTCAGTAAAATGTTTTTGTAACTGACTGGCAATCCCATTTCTTCTTCCAGTGTTTGTATTTGTAGTGTCCGCTACAATCATTTTTATACTCTTTTATAAATTGCATTTATAGAGAATAGCTAATATACTTTTAACAACATCTCTATCTGGTAGATCTAGCGCTTATAAGTTAACTTTTCTTTGTTTATTCTTCAACATTAACACTTGATATTCTTGGTGACCTTTACCATCAAAGTGCAGTGAACAGCTTTCTAAATGTAGTGTTTTCTTCATTTCTTCTTTAAGTTTAACAGCTTTTTTATTAGTTGATCCAAATATACCAGACTGTAAAGGTGTTTGTATGATACCAATTGTCGACAGTTATCTTGAGATAACTGTCGACAATTAGTTGCTGCTTGCTGGTTGGTTACTTTAGATTTTACTAATTTGGTTGCAGTTTTTGATTTTGCTTTAGTTCTTGCTGGTACTTGTTCTTTTGAAACTTCAGACTCTTGATATTATGCCTCAGGTTTAGATTCGGAATTTGACACTTTAAGAGAGCCTAACGCAAAATTGGCTCTTGCTGATGCCGCTTCTACTTGATGTTTCACTCTCAAATCATGAGAAACGATTATTCCCAGATCACTTTCATTATTAGTGCTTTCAAAGGTTTTTTTGTTTCCTAATTGATCGAGCATTGTATAGTCTTGAGTCAATTTGTTGATTAGGCGTCCAACATGCATGACTTTGCATTTTGCCACATTCAACTCCATGAGCCATATTTTAGACCAACGTTCTACTTCGTCTATATAATTTTGTAACGTTACAGCGTCTGCCTTGCTCTTTATTAAGCCTATAATCTTGCTGTCGTCAGCGTACATTTTAATTTGATGTGCTATATTATCAGGTAAATTGTTTATATAGAGTATGAATAATAGAGGTTCAAGCACTGAACCCTGTGGAACACCACTTGTGACTTTCTTCCAATTTGATTTATGATTACGGATTGTTACTCTTTGTTGTCGGTTTGCCAGCCAGTTATCTATCCACTTGAGTAGAGTTCTACATACATCGTATGATTTAAGCTTATGAAGTAGCCGCTTGTGTGATACTTTATCAAACGCCTTTGCAAAGTCAGTATAGATAACGTCTATGGCATAACCATCGGAAATTGCATTTGTTAATATGTCTCTTGTTTCTAATAAATTAGTGGCATAACCTCGTCCCGGAAGAAAACCATGCTGGCCTTTAGTGATTAGGTTATTTACGATGCAATGCTTCATTATGATATCGTGAACGAAACTCTCCATTACTTTGCAAGAGACAGATGTTAGAGATACCGGTCGATAGTTAGCTTTTTTTTGTTTACTCCCTTTTTTTAAAATCAGTGTGATATTTGACTTTTCCATAATTCAGGTATATGACTTTCAGCAAAAGACTTTTGGAATATGAGTGTGATTGGCACAGCAAAAGCAGAGGAACAGTTTTTTAACACCCGGGGGTGTACTCCATTGTGATCTTTGGATTTCGATTCTATTAGGTTTTCGAGCTTTTATATGTATATATATATATGTATATATATATATATATATATATATCTATATATATATATATATATATATATATATATATATATATATATATATATATATATATATATATATGTATATATATATATATATATATATATATATATATATATATATATATATATATATATATATATATATATACATATATATATATATATATATGTATATATATATATATATATATATATATATATATATATATATATATATATATATATATATATATATATATATATATATATGTAAAATAATGAAAAATAGTTATGAAATATAGTTTTGTTACTAATAACTTTTTTGTTTCTATAAAATATTTATAAACATTTGATGAAACAGTATGTTATATTTTTAGCAAGAGAACACGCTTTAACAAATGATGCTAAAAAAGGTTTGGAAAGCAAAGAAGACATAACAAAAGCAAGTCGATCGTTGCGAACCACTGAAAAGGATAAGAATACTGGTATTGGAACAGAAAAAACAAATATATATGATGGTATCAAAGATGTCATGCTTTTCCATATAAAAGGTAATAGAGAAAGCTCTACAAGCTTTTTTTATTTATAACATATAACCCTACCACACATTTATAAATTTCCCCATATAAAAATGAAAACAGAAATGAATTTTTTACTTGTTTTTGAAGGAAATCGGCACATTCAGACTCGTTTGGTTGAGCCAAAAACAAGTTCTATGAATTCTGGTGATGTGTTTGTACTGATAACACCAAAATACATACATCAATGGAATGGAAAAAATTGCAGTATAATGGAAAAGTCAAGGGTAACTTTTCTCTATATTCAAACAATTTTTTACAAATATATATGAATATGTGAATTTAGTATAATATGTGAATTTAGACCATTTTATCAGTCAATAATTCTCATTTTATCAGTCGATAATTCTTATTTAAAAAAGTCAAAAATTCTTATTTATTTTTATTCAATATATACATTTCATATGAAATTAAGTCTTTCAGAAGTTCTCACATTCAAGGTGGCATTGTTTACAGATAATATTGCTGTTAATTCTTGTCTTAATAAGTAGCTAATACTCTCTGATTGTTTGGAGGGGGCATTTGAGCTTGAAAAACATCTCACTTCTACTACAGCACAGGGCTCTCAATGGAATGTGAACTTTAGATCAGATAAAACTCTTTTTTTTTTCAGCTAATTGTTATCACAATCATCAATCATCTTTCTATATTTATAAATGGTAACATTCTCGATGAGTCATCTTCCCTTCATCTTCTATTTTATTGAATCTTTAACTCTTACTTCCGATCTTTAGAGGAAACCATGGAAACCATATATCAAATTGGTTGCAAAATTAGCATCTGCTAAGGTTGCATCTCTTTATTGTGCTTGTCATTTTCTTACTCAGGATTCTATTCTTTATCTTTATAAATCTCAAATCTGTTTTTGTATGGAATACTGTTGCCATTTTTGGAGCCCATCTACAAATGATGCCTTTTCTCTTTTAGACAAGGTGCAAAAATGTATTGTAAATATAGTTGGACCTGTTCTTACAGCCAACCTTCAACCATTGTAATGTTGTCATAATGTTGGTTCTCTTTCTCTTTTCTATAAATACTATAATGGGCACTCTAAAGAGCTAGCCTCTCTTGTGCCTTCACGGCCTTAGGGAGGTGAATTCAAATTAAAAAAAAAAATCAACTAAAATACATTCTTGTGTTTCCTGTCATTCAAAAAGACTCATCCTTTTACTGTGACTGTTCATAAGTGCTCCAAAATTTTTTATTTGTCTAGTTTTTTTCTTGGAATATCAGTTCTTTGGAATTTGTTCTCTTTATTATTTTATTTTTTTTCCTGATTCATACAATTTGCAATCTTTCAAGTTGTCTGTTAATTTTTATCTTGGTTTATAAACTTTAACTTTTACTTTTCTTTAAATAAACATTTATAGGGTTGTGAAATCAGTTCTGTAGTGCATCAATGGAAAGAATTGGGTTGTATCTCTGCTAGTATTAACCTTATGGATGAAGATAGAGAAAAACCAGGAGTAATGACAACTACTTTCTGGAAAATTCTTGGTGATAAAAAGTATATTAAGAGTATGTGTACATATATTTACATTTAATTAAAGTTGTTTTTTGTTGTTGTAATTATTATTATTAAGTTAGCAAAATATAAATGTGTTATAATGTGTTATATCAAATTATTTATAGTTTGATATAACACAATATAATATGTGTTATATTATGTTGTGTTATATCAAATTATAAATAATTTGCTAGTAAAACACTAGTCAGGTTTGAAGTATCCTGCTACTGTTGACAAGTTGTTCATTTTGACATTCTAGGCTTGTTATTATATGTCAAGTAAGCCCAATATTATATATATATATATATATATATATATATATATATATATATATATATATATATATATATATATATATATATATATATATATATATATAAATTTTTTTTTTTTAATCTCAAGAACAATTTGTATTGGCCCTATCAAAGTTTCAACAATATCTGGTATATTGGTCTTTTTCATAGGTTTTTGCAATATCTTTTAGCAAAAGTTTTTAAAACTTTTGAATCTCTTTAATTACAAATATTATAAGACTCTTAAGTTTTTGAGTTATAGATTTGAGCGATTCAAGTATCATTGCATATTGGTAAATAAAAAAACTCCATTTATGTTAGAATAACAGTATTTAAAAATTTTTATTTTTTTTAATTTTTTTTGCTTTTTTTGCTTTTTTTTTTGCTTTTATTTCTTTTTTTTTTTTTTTTTGCTTTAATTTGGGTATTAATAATAAATTTGGTTGTAAAATGCCAAAATAATGCTATCTGGCAACCTTGATTTAAACAGTTTTCAAATAAATTAATTTTTTTGTTTTCAGAAAAAGGTTTTTGTATATACTTATCAAAAAAATTGTTGTTTTAGATTTTTATTTAGTATTTTTGATTACCAGCATAACAAATTTATTGTATCCTAAAATAGTTTGAAGCTCTTTAAAGTAGCAAGTTTGGCATTTAGCAATTTATGAAAGCAAAATAAGTTAAATAAAAGGAGTAGTAATTAGCTCTTCTATTCTAATAAGCTAACTGTCTGAATAATTAATTTTAATCTATAAGTACTTTACCATAGAATAAATTGAATTTCTTATTCTTCATCAATCTCACTTAATTTCTTTTCTTAGAATTCCTTTAAGCTATCAAAGCCAAGAGATTAGGTACATCTATGAACCATGCATCCTTTATTGTTTGTATCGCATACTCATTTTGACTTAAAATCTTTGTATGTAACATTCCTTTGGATAGCATTTACAAGCAATATTGAGTTTTGATGATGTATACAAACACATACACTGTGTACCACTTGGGCCAACATTGATTCACCATTTTGGACGCAAAATAGAAAATTTTGAAAAACCTATTTTAAAATTAGGGTATTTACTTTTGTTTTTTTAGTAAAATTAAAAAAAAATGTTCTAAATGACCAACAAAAAACCAAACTACTGTCTTTTTAAGTTAAATGTGTTAATAAGCTATACAATTTAAGTTATACAGTTAATAGAAATTAATGAATTAATTTTTGTTTGTGGCATTTTTTTTTCAATATCTTGGACATTTGTATGTTATATGGGTTGGCTCTCAATCATTAATTACTTTGTGTAGCTTGAAAGGTAGTTGGAATATTTTGGTTATGTGCAATTTAGTTTTTTCAACATTGTTTGTCTAGCAGACATAATTCTTTTGAAATCCCACAATAATTTAAATAGGTGTGAAGCATTTCATAAGGCATGAAACACTAGATGCATAAAACATTTACTGGAATTAAAGAGTTTTGATTGAAGCTGACCAAAAGCATTTTTAGATAAATTACTACACATTGAGTTAATGTAATATTTGTCTATTATATTATTTTTGTTTGCTATTGTGTTAATCTTTATTATCTGAGATTTTATGTGATTTTTGTGTTGTGTGTTTTGTGTTATTGCTATTGTGTTAATCTTTATTGACTGAAACTTTTATTAAGTTATTAAATTATGTAGATGGCTCATAGATGTATAAGGGCTAGATGTTATATAAGATGTTATATCACATTAATTAAATTAAATTGATTAGTGTTTTAAATTAATCGGGAAATCTTTATATTTCAGTTTTTTCTTTTGTTTCCAGAACAAAAGCAAATTTAAAATAGTATTTCAAAATGTTTTTATCTTTAAAAAATAGTTCATATTATACTAAAAATTTAAAAGTTGTTCAACTTTTTTTGTTGTTTATTATACCTATTTTTCTCTGTTAACAATATTTGATTTTTGAAAAATTGAAGTTTTGTAATTGTTTGAAAAATAATTGTGTTCTCACAATATATCACAATCACAATATATCATCTTCCCTGTAACTTTGTTGAATCAATTCACCACATTGTAGGATGCTATTTTTTTATGCACTTTTCAATTATAACACAAAGCGACAATATTTATTAGACAAATTGGCATCACAAAATAAATTTAAAAAGTTAAACACAGTAGGGTGTGAGATGTTTGTTCATATGAAAAGGATTTAATTCCTGAGGTGTTACGGTGTAGACAGGATTTAATTCCTACCACCAAGGGTGTGAGACGTTTGTTTATATGAAAAGGATTTAATTCTTAGACTGCTGTGAGCTGTGTGACAAATTCCTTTATATTTTTTATTTTATAAAGTTTAAAAAATTAAGTTAATTTTTTTTATTGTTATTTTAATTGTTTTAACTATGCAACTATTTTTTTGTTTATTTTTTAAATTAGAAATTAATGACGTTTTACCTGACAAAGAATTTGAGCAGTACATTCTTGAAACTAACAAGTTTTTTGAAATATGTTCTGATAAGATAGATGATGAAGATGCTAACTGTTGGCTAAAACCTATTGAAGAATATTCTGGGAAAATACCTTCTAAAAAATGGCTTGATTCTAAGAAAGTATTATATTTTGTAAAATATCATTTTTTTGAAAAAACTGCATCCTCATAATTGAGTAATTTTTAAATAGAAATTTTTTATTTTAATCCAATAATAAAATTTCTATTTATTTAGTAAAGTATAAATTTGTAATTGCTTAAAAGCACATGTAACAAGAAGTCATAATAAGAACAATTGATTATAGGCTTATGTTCTTGATTTTGGCACTGAGGTTTACTCTTGGGTTGGCAGATATGCAACTGGTGCCCCACGTAAAAAGGCTGCAGAAGTTGGTTTAGAATATTACAAGAAAGGTAATTCTCAATTTTTTTGGCACTTTATTGATTAAATTGTATTGTATTATGCAATTTAACAAAAGGGAAAAAAAATTAAAAATAAAACCCTAAAGTTTGTTATTAGGGTTTTGTTTTTTAAAGAAAACTTTTTTTGTACTATAAATTATTTTGAAATAATATGCGTTGTTTATTGTTATTTATCATTTTAGATTATCAAACAGTTTCCAAAGTTCACCTTTTTTTTTATTGTTATATATCATTATAGATTATCAAACAGATTCCAAAGTTCATCCTTTTAATTTAAATTGTTATAATAATAACAATAATTTACCAATGCCCAGGCCAGATTGGTCTGTGTATGGTAGAATGGCAGAGAAGACAGAAAATGTGGCATTTCGACGAAAGTTTTTTGACTGGCCTGATCCTGTTGATTTAAAAGTACAAACTATCGATGCAAAAGTTCATGCTCAGGTAATAAGTTATTTATGCTAAACTTAAATAAAATAATATTTTAAAATTTAAACATAATTTTTAAAAATAATTTAATTTTATTGAATAGTGATTTGAGTTATTTAGAAGTCTTGAAACAAATTGAAGTACTCAATCATTATCGCAGTAACAATTATATTATAAACTGATATTCTCATATCTATGAATGCCAATATACTTGATGAGTCTTCTACTTTGTGTTTTTTCAGATTATCCTTTGTTTAGTTGTCCTTCTTGGATTTGGTACACTAAAGGTTTTTAGAAGTCGTTTACTAAAAGTCATATACCAGTTTCATTTCAAAATTAACAATAGTTTTTATCATCAATTAATCTTTATTATAATTTATTTAAAATTAAAATCTAATAAAATTGTGTTATTATGTTGTGCTAGTCATTTTCTTACTTCTAGTTCTATTTTCTACTTAGCAACAATCAAGTTTGATTTGAAAAAACTTATAATACAGGTTGTTGTTTTTTTTAACTTTTCCTCTTCCAAACGAATTCTTAACAACATTGTTGTAATAAATTTAAAGGGATTTGACAAGCAAAGTTATTAATTGCCTGTAATAAGCTGTAAAAGCAATTAGATAGAAATAAATTGAAAGTTGCTTTAGAGTGTTTAAAAATATCAAATAATAGTGTAGTGACTGTGGATGATATATTTGCCGCTGTTTGGAAAAATATTAAGTCTGAATATATTCATAGTAAAGATTCAAAAACAGAACCTGATATAGAATTTTGCATTAATAATGAGTTTGTTGATATATACTATATATATATATATATATATATATATATATATATATATATATATATATATATATATATATATATATATATATATATATATATATATATATAATTTTTTTTTCTTTTTTTTTTTTTTAACATCTTCGCTTCCAACAAGGCTGCAACCAACCACTAATTATTGTTGAAAGTTACTGGAAGATGAAGGAAGCGAATTCCAAAGAACTGATGTTCGAGGAAAAAAACTAGACGAATAAGAGTTTTTGGAGCACTTAGGAACAGTAACAGAAAAAGGATGAGACTTAATTGAATGATGAGTAACACGAGAATGAATTTTAGTAGATGGCACAAGAGACGCTAGCTCTTTAGAGCAGTGCCCATTATAGTATTTGTAGAAAAGAGAAAAAGAAGCAACATTACGACGATGTGACAGAGGTTGAAGGTTGGCTGCAAGAGCAGGTCCAATTATGTTTACAATGCGTTTTTGCACCTTGTCTAAAAGAGAAAGGGCATCATTAGAAGATCCACCCCAGATATGGCAACAGTATTCCATACAAGGCCGGATTTGAGATTTATAGAGATAGAGAATAGAATCCAGAGTAAGAAAGTGACAAGCTCGATAAAGAGAAGCGACTTTAGCAGATGCTAAAGTTTTGCAACGGATTTGATATAAGGTTTCCAAGAATATATATATATATATATATATATATATATATATATATATATATATATATATATATATATATATATATATATATATATATATATATATATTTTATATATATATATATATATATATATATATATATATATATATATATATATATATATATATATATATATATATATATATATATATATACATATATATATATGTATAGTATCTTCATCAAGAGAAGACCCTACCATGATGATAATAACAATTACTTGTTAAACCTTTACATACAGGTGTACAACAAATGAATATCTTCATTTACGTTCCAAAATAAAAAACATCTTATGAAAAATAAAAAGAAACAATTACATATAAAAAAGTTAGAAAAAAAAGACCACATCTTACAAATAAGTTAATAATAATACTCCTCCATCTAGACAACTTTCCATCAATTAACAAATGATGAGTATCAGGGATTTAGTTTTGTGCAATATATCGCAAAAATTAATTTCTTGAAACTAAGTTTCAAAGATAGCTTTTATAATTTTTCTTTAGATTACCACAACACAAACTTTGACTTATTTTCATGCCACTGGAGCAGTATGGGCACTCAATAACATGTTTTATTACTTTACTAAGTTTAACTAAACAAAAAGTTTAGATGTAGCCATTTCAAAATTTTCAATACAAAAAATTTACTATTTGTTTTAAGGTAGTTCATCTATAAGAAAATAAGAGAGATTAGCAAAATAAATCTAAGAGAGATTAGCAAAATAGTTCTAAGAGAGATTAGCAAAATAATTCTCAGAGAGATTAGCAAAATAATTCTAAGAGAGATTAGCAAAATATTTCTAAAAGAGATTAGCAAAATAATTCTAGACCGTGATAGATTTGAAATTTTGTTTATATACTTAACATAAGAAAACCTCTATAGAAATAGGATTTACAATTTATTTAATAGAAATGACACGAATCAGCATTTGATAACGATTTTGGAACAAGTTGATAAACTTTTGAAAAAAGTTGTTTTGCTAGCCAACACTAAAGTTAAATAAAAAAGGTAAATAAAAACCAAAAAACCAAACAAAAGCAAGTTAAAAAGTTTATTTTGCCTAAAGTTAATAGGTTGTTACAAAAGGTATTTTCTATAAATTATTTACTTTAACATTTCTTTTAATAAACGATGAAAGGGGTGAATTAGCCTTTTTAAATTTATTTATTTTTTTGATTTTTTAGGTTACATTAAATTTTTGAAAACAAAATTGTTAATATTACTGCACCTTCATAATACTTTTTATTAACAGTTTAGATAAGTTAATATGCCAAATACGTTCTTTTTATACTATGTATTTTTTTTTTTTTTTCAGTTAACAAAAGAGTTTTCTTCTGAGCCCTCAACTCCTTTATTATTACCAATACCAGCTAAGCAATTGTTAGAACCGACTCCAGAGCCACTCATGGTCCATGATGGTCAGTTCTTTTTTAATTAATCGTGTTCTTTTTCAAATAAAAAGTGTTTTTGTAAAATCAAATTTTAAATTATTGATTCAACAAAACAATGACACAAAACAATAATTATCAAGGTAACAAAGTCGAAGTTTTTAATTTATTATAATTTATTTAAAATTAAAAAAGTGTTAAAATTTTTATTTAAAACTATTAAGGCTAAATCAATTAAAGTTTTAAATAATTAAAAATAAAAATATCAAGTAAAAATATACAAAATTAAGTATAAGTTTTATAAACTGATTGAAGTTTATACATCTTAAATGTTTATTCAACTTGTAAAAAAATTCAATACTGCATTTTTTCAATATAATTTACAAGTGGTAGTACTTTAAAATTTTTTAAATGTTAAAGTAATTGTCTCTAAAGGTTTATTTATTGGGCGAGGCAAAGGAATGCGGGACAATGAAACTCTTTTTAACTATGGTGTAACATTAAACGAACTTACTGTATGGCTAATATCTGGGAATGCTCATTTAGAAGTGCCATTAGAAAACAAAGGAGTATTTTTTTCTGGTGAAGGTATGGAGAATATTTTTCTGTGGTTAAGTATTTATTTTTTTGTAATTTAAAGTAAATTCTAATTTCTAAGACTGTCTTCTGTTATCTGTTTTTCTGTTATCTGCTATCTGTTTTTCTGTTATCTGTTTTCTGTTATCTGTTTTCTGTTATCTGTTTTCTGTTATCTGTTTTCTGTTATCTGTTATCTGTTATCTGTTAAATAACAGTTAAATAACAATAATCTCTAATAGTAACAGTATTATTAGTTTTATGTTAATGTAATAAATATATCTAATAAATATAACAATTTTTTTCAGTTTCAACAACATGTTTTGATTATACAATAATCATTTTCACGTATGAAACTGTTAAATACAAAAACTATTTAATATATAGTCAAAATAAACATTAATTTTATTTGTAAGCCAAACAAAAGAAAACATGAAAAGTGTGAAAACTAAGTCATAGAATAATGGGAAATGTAGATAATTGTTGTAATACATACGTCATAGAGTAATAGAAAATGTTGATTAGAGCTGGAGTATTAGCGTGTAATTAAAAACCTGTTTATTAAGATCAGGTTCTTTCGACATAATGTGTAATGCTTCTTTGATTTTTAAGTGATGTGAAGTTGGGCGTAGTCTAATACTGAAAAAGAGTTTTTATTGGCTACATTAAAGCAACTCATTTTTGAATAAATATGTTGATTTATATGAGAAGTTTTTGTAGTTTTAAATGTTCCTCAATTCTTATATTCAAATGTCAAATGGTTTGACATAACAAGCATTACAATAATTAGTTAAAATGATTCTCTTTTTGAACAAAAACAATAGACTGCAATAGAATGCAACTATTTTTTTTTTAAAGTATTTTAAATTTCAGTTTTGCTGTTTTTAAACAAAAAAAAGCATATTTGTTTGAAAATGATTATAACTTTAAAAGTTCAATAAATTGTTTACACCTGTATAACGATAGCAGCAAGTTTTGTATAACATTTAAAATTATTTTCTGGAAAAGAAGCAATAAAGATGATTCATTTATTAAAATTCAACTTAAAAGTAATGTAAACATACTTATATGCTGTTTTGTTATTTTTACTATATTATACACTTGTGTATAATGTTATAAAATGAAATTTTTTATTTTATGACAAAACTGGATTGACAAAATTATTATAAAATACCATTTCTTAAAAAAAGTAAAATAAATGAAATTTAAAAATGCATACAAAACTTGTTTTTCTTCATTTTTAACATCAAATTATTTTTTAACATAAATTTTACTTCACAAAATTCAGGTTTCACTAATAATTTTTGTTTACAACAAGTAATAAATATGCATGGTCATCCGTGTTTGAATTTTTAGTTGACTATTTCTTAACAAAGCTTTATTTCAAGTTTTGATATTTTTTCATTTCATATTTATTTAACTATATTTGATTATAGCATATATCGTCAAGTGGTGCTTTCAGATCTTTCGTTCAGGTATACAAAGTTTGAAAGGTGGTAAATCTCGCCAGGATGATACTGGCAAAGATCATGTTTTTTTCTTCTTTTGGCAAGGCAGAGATTGTTCTGCAAGTGACAAAGGGACAGCTGCTTTAATGACAATTGATCTTGATACAGAAGAAGGACCTCAAGTAAATTTATATGTTGTTATAAAAAAATTCTTTCTAAAACTGACAGTTAATAATAAAATATTATTAAAAATATAAATAATGATAAATATTAGTAAATGTTGATTATTAATAACTAGTTTTTTAAACATATAATAATGTAATAATTTAATTTATATGTAGTAGTTTGTTTCATTTAATATCTAATAAATATAATCTTAATAATTATTTTTATAAAATAAATCTTACTGAAAATTGACTTGACCTATAATGTAAGATCATGGGGTTTAATGTTTTTAAATATTTCTAAATGTTTTTCTTTTTTTATTTGTGTTTTCACATTTAACTTCATTTGACAAAAAATTTTTGTTGTTTAGAAGTTTTGATTTTAATTCTTAAAATGGCTAATTAACTTAAATTAGCAACTAATTTTAAATGATAAAATTTAAAAACGCATGGTGTACTGTGAATTTTAAATGACAAAATTTAAAAACACATGCTGTACTGTGAATTTTAAATGACAAAATTTAAAAACGCATGGTGTGCTGCAAATTTTAAATGACAAAATTTAGAAACGTATGGTGTACTAGGAATTTTAAATGACAAAATTTTAAAATAAACACATGGTGTATTATGTTTTTTTACAAAACACTGGATTATTCATTTTTAACTTTTTTTTTGTTACAAATAAAATAAAAGCAATTAAGTTTTATTTTGAGTTTAACAATTTTGAGTTTCGTTTGACAATTCAGTAGACTCTTCGTGTTACGTTCAGTATAAGTATAGAAAAAGTTTTATTAAATTAATCACAAAGAAAGTTCTTGCAGTTTTTTTTTTAATATGGTTTAATTAATAACTTATCTCTTTAATAAGTTATCTCTTGTAACTACTAGTTGTCTAGTTTACCTAGGCAATAGACTGGTACTTTTTAAATAATTTCAAATTTCCATTGAGAGGACTAGTCTTCCTATGTCAATGACTGTGACATACTTGTTCGCACTGTGGCAAGCATGCTGCATTATCATATATATGTTAATTTAAACTTATTTCCGTTTTTAATTAAAAACATTTTTTCTACTAAAATTTTTATTTAAAGAAGTTTTAAATTTAAATGAAAACAATTTTTACTATTTTTCCATTAAAAAAAAAATGTTTAATGACTTGCCTAGAAATTAATTTAGTTTGAATATGTAAATAGTAAGTACATAGATGTAATATAAAACCTATATTTATAATATTTTTGCTTGTTTCTTTTCTCAACAAGGTATTACAGAGATAATTAAGGAACATGATGGGTATAAGTTCTTTCCTAAAATTATTTTTTTAATTAGATAATGGTTGAACAAGGAAAAGAGCCTCCAGCTTTTTATCAATTGTTCAATGGTGAAATGATTATACATGCTGGCAAGTGAGTAACTACTTGTAATTATTTAGTAAGACTTTTTATAGAATTTTTATGCTTACTTGTTTTGATGATTTTTAAATATTGTTCATTTAAATAATTGTTGTTAAGGGCACTTGACTTTGACGTATCTGCAGTAGGTCATATGTATTGGATTAAAAATGAAGTAGAATGTGAAGCTTGTATAGTTGAGGTGCCATTAACGTAAGTTACCATTTTAGTAATAAGTATTATTTACTTTATTAAAATTCAACCTCAAAATAAATTTGATATTTTGATACCTTTCAAAAGTTATTCTTGCTTCAACAAATTGCCTTGCTTTAAGTTTGACATGAACTATTGTAATATAAAGTCATTAATTGAGAAAAAGCCAAAATGGTTAGATCATATTTTGAGTTTTTTCACAATTAATTAATTGCTTACTTGCAATTGTTTATTGTGAAAATTTTAAATTTTTGCATATGCGCAAAATATTTTTACCACTTCAATTTTTATTGAAATTTTTAACATTTTTAAAAACTCTTGAACTTTTGTTTATTATAGTATATAATATCTTTATATATGTTTGTTATAATATATAATATCTTTATATATGTTTGTTATAATATATAATATCTTTATATATGTTTGTTATAGTATATATTATCTTTATATATGTTTGTTATAGTATATAATATCTTTATATATGTTTGTTATAGTATATATTATCTTTATATATGTTTGTTATAGTATATAATATCTTTATATATGTTTGTTATAATATATATTATCTTTATATATGTTTGTTATAATATATATTATCTTTATATATGTTTGTTATAATATATATTATCTTTATATATGTTTGTTATAATATATATTATCTTTATATATGTTTGTTATAGTATATAATATCTTTATATATGTTTGTTATAATATATATTATCTTTATATATGTTTGTTATAGTATATAATATCTTTATATATGTTTTTTATAGTATATAATATCTTTATATATGTTTGTTATAGTATATAATATCTTTATATTGTAAAATGTTTTATTTTGTATTTTAGAAAGTTGGAAATGATTTAAAAAAAAAAAGAATAAATGTACTTAAAATCTTATAATTTGACAAGAATTTAACCCTTGTATTTTACTTCAAAAGCGAACTAACCACTCAAGCACACTAATCTGACAATTTTTTAACATTAATAAACATTTTAAATTTAATAAATAAAAGATTAAATAACTTTATGAAACAGCAATAAATTCTATTAATGAAAGTTTTGGAGATATAGGAACATCAAAATGATATTTGCTAAATAATAAAGTTCTAAATAAAAGTAAAACTTTATAAAAGTAAAAATATCTATAGAGCTTCAAAAACTTTCTATTTTAAAAAATTGGAAATAAAAAAAATTAATGTGAAAGCGCAAAGAAACCACACCATTTTACTTCAAAATGCTGTGAGCTAACCACTTCTACCACTAAGGCGTATTGTTCAACAAGTTTTTTAACACTTTTTAATAAACAAAAGACTTAATAAAACAAATTTTATAACTCAAAATTAAGATGTTGCTGCAATGCAATTTTAAAGTAAAAAAAAATAAATTACAACTTGATATATGTTTTAACATTACATAAATTGAAGTTTACATAAGTTAGATTTGCATACACTTTGATTTACATTTACTTATACAAAAGTGCTGCAACTCTTTCTTGGATGTAATGGCTGCTGTGAGATCTGTGAAAATATGCACAAATGAGTAGCAAGAGCAGCAGCAACAGCAAGAGCAGCGTTAAATTCAGTATTAAAATATTTTAGGATGGTAAAAAGTACAACTTTAAATTATTCAAATAAAAGCACAGCAAATCTAAAAAACTTTTTTTGTTGTGAGTTGAGAAAATAATAGTAGGATTTAACAAAACATTAAAAAATAAATTGCTTTTTACTAATTTTTTATTTTACATTGTTGTTATTTTTTTTAATGTTAAATTTCTTAAAAAACTTAGTATTTTCATTTATTATTATTGTTATTATTACTATTATTATTATTTTTACAAATTTATAAGGTCTGCTTCGTTGAGATCTCGTGGTTCATTTTTGGTGACAAGTAAGCATACATTATATTTATGGCATGGTTGCAAGGTTGTCAGAAATAGTCGTGAAATAGCTCAAACTGCTACACAATCATTTATTAAAAGGTATTAATTTTTGATGCTAAGAGTTTGTGCCTTATTAAATATGTTAGTAATGTTAGTTTATATTAATTTATATTATATTCAATAGGTTAAATCATTTAAAGTTGCATCTTATTGAGTACGATGAAGGAGAAGAGACTGATGAATTTTGGGATGCTCTAGGAGATGAAGAAGAATACATGTCATATTTAGGCAGTATGTAGAAGAGTGATTTTGTTTTCAATTTTTAAATATTTTTAATTTTTATTTTTATTTTTTAATTTTGTTAGTAAAGTAGTGGTAGAGCACATAAACAAGAAGTTCTGAGTTTGATCATGTCCCTGGTAGTACCATTATCAACTTGTTTTTTTAGGCAACAGTCTTGTTAATCAAGGCTTGTATTTTGGGTTATAAGTTGTAAATGCAAAAAAAATAATTGAGTAGCCGCTTTGCCTGTAGTGTCTTTTTGGCATTGGAAAGGTGAACTGTAGTGGTATCTGTGGCACTGAAAATGTGGATACAGCTAAAAAACTTTTTTATAAAAATTATTTTTAGTTTCAAAAGAATTCAACTTTACAATGCGTTGCTTTGTATTCGACAGTTTAAATGGATGTTTCCAGTATAAAGAATTATCAAGTTCTTCATATCATCCAAAACATACATGTCCTTTTCCAATACTACAATCTCATTTGTATGAACTTTCCCAACCAGGTATGTTTTCCATTATATTTTAAAGTTTAGGGTTGGCAAATTGTTTTGCATAATTAATTGAAACCCGGGCCTTTGCCTGTTTTTATAAAGTTTGGCATGTTGGCCTTTTCCATAATGTATTAGAGAGAGTAAAATTTTTTTTTACTTTTATCTTTTCAAAATGAGTTTTTTTAATTTAAAAATTATTTTTTGGGTGGTTTGACCAGTATCAAGTATTGAATCAAAAGGTTCCACTTTACATAATCTAGTTCATTCAATTTATAGAATTTAATACAAGTTATATTTACAATGTAAAACATTTATTACAGTTACATCACAAAAAAATATTTGTCTTTGTTGGCAATTGATTTTCTATACAATTATTAAATTAGCTAACAATAATGAGAAACAGTTAAAATAATTAAGTTTATAATAAAACAATTTTAATAGGTAGCGGGTGTTAAAAAATAGCTGTTATCAATCAGAGAGTAAACTGATCAAAGAGTTCAATCAGTTTAGAAATTACTGATATCAGATTAATAAAAACTTATTTTATATAAACAATAAAAAATAATAAAACTGAAAGATTCTGGCTTCATTTTGGTATTATCATAGGTGAAATCTAGTTAATAAAAATACTAATAATGACAAAAAAAAAAAGCCTAAGTGTTTGATATGAAAATTATTTTTTATACATACTATTTTTATATTGTTTTTAATCTTTGTATTCATTTTTATATTCTTATTCTACAAGAAAGACAATTTTATTTTATTTTTTATAACTTTTTATTTAAAATGTTATTCAATTATTTTAGATTTATTTATGTAGGATTGGTTTTTATTGATAATGGTTTTAAAATGTACCTATGGCAAGGGTGGTGGCCTGTTACTGATGAAACTGTTGATATAACTGGCCCAAATACTAAAGCAGAGAAGCATAGATTTGATGTCAACAAAAAACTGGCCCTTCAATCTATAAAATATTATGCTTTGGGTATGTATTATACCAACTATAATATAAATGTATTATATATATATATATATATATATATATATATATATATATATATATATATATATATATATATATATATATATATATATATATATATATATAAATATATATATATATTTTATTTTAATTCACTTCCTCAAGGCCGAGAAGGCCACTACAGACGAGGAGGCTACTTATTTGTAGTTATAACCCTCTCTCAACTCTATAACTCCGAAACACGATCCTTGACGAATAAGGCCGCTGCGCGGAGAAACGAGTTGATATATATATATATATATATATATTAAGATTTACAATTATAATACCAAAAGTTTTTTATATCTTAATTATAATACCATACCTTTAACTTATAAACATAGATTTATGTGTTTGTGTATGTGTGTCTGTGTTTATATATATGAACAATCCTACCAATGTTATAACTCACAATGCTACCAAATAATGTTACAATTTCCCTATTCAACATTTGGACCACAATTATGTAAAAAATTAACTTTTAAAATAAACAAGATTTTGATTATAAATGTCGCAGCTAAAAATGGTACTTTTTACGAGCCCAGCCTGGCCCTGGCAAAATCATAAGATTTAGCAGGGGTTAATAGCTGGGGCTAGGAATATATATATATATATATATATATATATATATATATATATATATATATATATATATATATATATATATATATATATATATATATATATATATATATATATATATGTATATATATATTCCTAGTAAAATTGCATAAATGTTGAAATGTACAATTCACTAAATTTATTTTCAAAATTATTATAAAAATATTTTTATCTCTTATTTGTTTTATATCTTATTTGTCTAATATTGTATCCTATTTGTCTGTCTTTTTTATTTTTTATTTTTTTAAATGTCTGACTTCTTAAATTTTTTGCTGGCATAAAATGAGCATTAAAATGATTTGTTTGAGTAAAATGTTATAGTATTTTGTTAAGCAGAAAGTTGCAAATGGACAGTTCTTTAAATTTATAAATCATCTTTTTATCTCAAAAAAACTTAAAGTGAAGAAAAGTGACAAAGCTAACAAACATCATCAAGATTTCCAATATACAATACTATATGCCATATCATATGCTTTCACTACTGATATTTAGACTTCATCTAAAAATGAATCTTTTATGTCATTTATTGCTCATTGGATTACCAAGGACTTTAACAAAAAATTGCAATCAAGATGTAATCCATTTCAATATATTCTATGATTTACTTTCTCATACTAGGTGGAATATTTCAGAACTTTAAAAAACATCAAATTTTTGGTTTAAATAATATTCACATTGTTATTAGAGATAATGTAAGTGATTTGGTTTATTAGAGATAATGCAAGTGATTTGGTTTAGCAAAAAAAATTTATATATTTATAAAAGTTAAATTAAAAAATTTATATATCTAAAAAAAGAGTTAAGTTATTTAAAAAAAGGAAAAGACTGGTCCAAGTTATTCAAATATTAGTGCAAATAAGTTATTGGGAGTACATTACTTAATAATAGATACAAAACTGCATGTTTTCAAAACAAATTTTATTCTGAAATGAGAATGTTTATTCTGAAGAGCAAATGAAAAGTTTATTCTAATGAGCAAGGAAAATAAATCAGCTTTGTAAAATAAATTTATAAACATTTTTTATAAAGATGATTAGGAAATATAAATTAAATAAATCTAAGACTAAATATGTTTCAAATTGTTAGATAAAGTTATACTTTTATCAAATATATATATATATATATATATATATATATATATATATATATATATATATATATATATATATATATATATATATATATATATATATTTGTAATTTTATATGAATTGTGTTTTTTATAATTAAAAAAATAATATATTTTGAAATATATGCTTAATATATACTTATATTTGTGTGGTTTTACTATTCCCTTTACTTTTCAAAAAGGGCTTAACTTAACAAAAATAAACAAAAACGGTAAAGAAAAAATAGCAAGATAAAATAGTCCGGGATATTAACCCATGCAATCTTATTTGTCTAGCCAAAGCCAAGGTTGTAAAATGCTCCATATTTAGCTGGGCCACTTACTACTGCATACATATACATATAAATTTAGTGCTTATTTTGTTCATTGTTTAGAAAAAAACTGTCCATTATCTAAGACATATGTTGTTTATGCTGGCTGCGAACCTTTAGAGTTTACAAACTTGTTTCCTTTTTGGAATCCAAATGAAGAAATAAGTAAAATACAGATATCAGCAGGTTACAAAATGGGAGAAATAAAACAACTGGAAGAAGTCCTTTCAAAACTTGAAAAGTAATTTAAGTATTTTATTTTGCTATTGTTGTATATTACTTTTTAGAAGATTTTTTTCTCATGCAAAAGTTTTTTAATTAACTATAGTACCTTGAAAGTTATTTTTTGGAAGAATGTTGTGTTAATATATTTCATAGAATAGTAGTTGTTTTTTTTAATGTTATTGAAAACCTCTACGGTTTAGATAAATTTTGCTGTTTTGACCATTTTAAACATAACCACCTAAAATCTATGGTAACAAAATGCAATTTTTGAAAGTTTTTAAAATTCTCTCAGTCTATGTTTAAAAGGAAATTAAAGATGAAGCCAATCTTTTGACAAAAACAGTCAAGGTTCAGACAGGTTGTTCACAGTATAATCAAGGATAATTTTTTTGACAGAATATTAAGATTATGGCAGGTTTTTTTGACAAGATTTTATTTTAAGTAGTTTTTAAATCTATTTGTGTCTGTTTTGTTTTGTTTTTAGAATTTCGTTTTTTACTATTTTTAATCTATAATATTTATCTATATGTATTTAAAAAATTTAATACATATAGATAAACTATATGTATTAAAAAATTAATGAATATAGTTTTAAACATAAATTTAAACTATAGGTATTAAAAAATTTTGTATATATGTGTATTTTTGTGTTTATATACTATCATGCTTGACCCACCAGAGCAAAAAAAAAAAAACATTTACGCAATAAATTTAGAACAACTGAAAGTTTATGTTTGGCTAGGAATTCTTATAATCAAAAATTTCAAACTAAAAAAAAATAAGTAAACTGTTGCATCACAAAATCAGTCATCAAATTGTATCATTGTATCTATTTTGTGTCTTCTCTAAATAGTATCTGGTTCTTGCTTTAGGCTATTTATGGATTTTATTCAAACTTTGACTAAATCTTTTCTTTGACTCTTAGAAAAGTATATTTAAGCCTTAATAGATGTAATTGGAATCAAATTTGTTAACCATGCTAATAAGGGCAATAACTTTTTTTTTTTTTTTTTTTTTTTTTGCTTTGACCAATTGATTGAGCAACACCATCAATAGAACTATGCAGTTCACTACCATCTCTATAAAGGTGTTTTGGTTGACTTGGCAACCAAATGTTATACATGCTATTACAAAAAATCAAGATTTTTAATTTCTTACAGATACAAACATTAACACTGCCTGTCTAAATAAAAAATACAAACATTAACACTGCCTGTCTAAATAAAAAATACAAACATTAACACTGCCTGTCTAAATAAAAAATACAAACATTAACACTGCCTGTCTAAATAAAGCTTGCCTAAATCCAAGTAATAAGTAAACTATTCTTTCCAAATCAATAGTAATTATACAAGCACTGAAAGTCAGGGTCATAGGTGGTGGTACTATTATATTCATAAACAAAAACTACTCAGATAAAACAGAACAAATAAAATTAGCAATAGATTATGTGTCTGACTAAAAAAAATTTTTTTTATCAGAAATGAATATAGCCTAGAAGAGTTAAGCAGCTTTCCTTTACCTGAAGGAGTTGACCCAAGTCGAATTGAAGACTACTTGAGTAATGTTGATTTTTTGGTAAGTTTTTTTGTTTTTTGCATCTATAGTTTTTTTATCTAATATTTTCTTATAAAAAATATTTAATAGAACTGTATAGATGTAATCCACTGAAAAAATAATAAGTAAAAACTGCTTTTTTCTTAACCTCCTCAAATGTAATAAAGTTGTGAAATAATGTTGACCTTAATAATATTTAAAAATCACTTGACCGTGTGATATGTTAAAAGTAGTTTTTTAAAAATCACTTGACCATGCGGTATGTTGAAAGTAGTTTTTTAAAAATCACTTGACCATGTGTTAAAAATCCAGGAATCATGAGATATGTTAAAAATCCAGGGGAAATAATTTGACTTAATGTTAAAGTTAAACTATAATTTTTTGTAGTTTGAAAATTTTAATATTATTTTTAAGTCAAACTTTAAAAGAATGATAAAATTTTCTTAAGGTTCCTTAAATGAAAGTAATAAATATAATCATATTTTATATTTTTACTATTCGGATAAATCAAAAAAAGTATTCAAATATGTCAAAAAAGCAATTCATTTATATCCATTATTTTTAAAAATTTTATGTTTTGTTATTAAAAGCAAGAGAATGTTACTAAATATTTTTTTGGTTGGTGAAAAGTGGATAGTAGTTTTAATTGTTTTTTGAATTTTAGCCCATACAATTAAGACCATCTCTTTTTTTACTACATTTCACTTACAATTTTAGTTACCTAGTTACCAAAAGATATTTTAGACAGTATGCAAAACTTAATATTAAATTGCCGTTTAACTCAATTTAAGGATAGAAAAAGAAATCTGGAATTCTACGAAACTTTATTTGATTTCATTTGCATAAATTAAATTTGAGATAATCAAAAATATTTGTATCATTAATATTTTGTAGCTATATAAATACAACGGAAGAAATGTCAATTAATACTGTGCAGGCTCATGATATACCGATAAAAAAAACTCTGTTCTTGAAGTCTCAAATTTGCTAAGAACATCAGTCTTAGCTTGATTTCATTTTTTTTTTTTTTTTATAAACTTTATATGTTTATGAAGCTTTTCTTTTTTTAAACTTTTTTGAAATTTGAAGAGAATTACACTGTTTACTCTTGTTATTCGATCTCCTATAGTACAAAGTACAAAAGAAATAGTACAAAGTACAAAAGAAATAGTACAAAGTACAAAAGAAATAGTACAAAGTACAAAAGAAATAGTACAAAATACAAAAGAAATAGTACAAAAAATTTAAATCTGAAAAATACTTTGGTCCCTCAGAGTATAATGAATTCCTGTAATTCGAATATAAAACAAGACCCCTTGAGGATTTGAATTAGATGAATTCAACTGTATATGTATTTGTATAAAAAAATTGCATTAAAAAATTAATTTTTTAGTGGAATTTTTACAAATTGTACAATTAAATTGAAAAAATTTATTTTTCTTTCAAATAAAAAATGAAAATCTTATGTTTAGAACTTGTTTGGCGTATCAAGAAGCGATTTTAGTCTTCTTCCTCGATGGAAGCAAATCGATCTCAAGAAAAGAACGTGTATTTTTTAAATGTACTTTTTAAAATATGTATATATATATATATATATATATATATATATATATATATATATATATATATATATATATATATATATATATATATATACATATGTGTGTGTATGTGTGTGTGTGTGTATATATATATATATATATATGTATATATACATGCACACTTAAATATAGATTTATAGATGTTTATAATGATGCAGTTTTTTTTTCTTTGTCTACCATCTTTTCCATTCTGGGTTTAAAAGTTTTTTGTTTTTTTTCTTTTTCTTGATTATTTATTTATCATTAAAGTTTTATATATTTAAAGTTTCATAGAGTCCGTATTTTAAAGCTTCATACACACACGCATATTCCCATTGATGAATACATATACATACATACACACTTGCATAAACAGTTTGTTATTCTATGTTTTTTACCCAAGTTATTATAGTTTTATACAAATTTAATTCCATGTTCACACTATGTTTGTTCACTATATAGTTGTTACTATTTTTATAAACAAAAGATTTTTAGATCTAAATAATTGCTTTGTTTTTTTATTTTTCCAGGCGTAACTTTTTTGTCCTCTAAAACACCTGTTTAACAAGAATTGAGAAAACAGGTTTTTTAATCAAATTTAAAAGTTTGGATTACTTGTTTAGTGCTATACAAGTTTTGTTTTACTTTTAAAGTTGTATTTAGAAAAATATGATTAAAAAATATCTGCTCGCCTCTGATATATTTAAAGGGTGAACACAAAATAAATGTGAAAAAATAAATACAATACTAATTAACAGTTTTAAGATTTGCCTCTCACTCATGAAGCTCTTTTTTTTTTTTTTAATTTTTTTATCATACGAAACACGAACCTTGTTAAACAAAGTCGCTGCGCTGAAAAATTTTTACATAATAACCAATTATTTTAAGTTATTATTTATTAAAGATGCAACAATGCAACATTTTGTTACATTGTCAAATATTTAAGTAATTAAAAATTATTTATTTTAAATTAAAAAATTTATTCAAGTTAAATGAGAAATTAACGGAATTTTTCTCATTTAATTACTACTTTTGCTAAAATTAAAATAAAAAGTAAGCATGATTTAATTAAATTAAATTTCTGAATGAACAAACAATGTAGTACAAACATCTTTTTTAAAGCAGGAGCCAATGCTATAAACAAAAAAACGATGTTTTTACCGTAAAACTCGAAATTTTTTGCGCACCACCCGGAGGTTTTGCGTAAACAGCAAAGAAAGAGCAATCAATTGTTATAAATATTATTATAAAATTATATATATATTGTGAAAATAAATATACATATATATATATATTGTTTTTAATATATATAAATATATTTATAGCAACGGATTTTTGTTTTTATTTTGCTTTTTTGCGCAAAAAAATTTCGAGTTTTACAGTAAAAGCTTCGTTTTTTTGTATATAGCATTGGCCCCAGGTTACAAATGTCTTCTTCGTAATAATTCGATTAGGAAATCATTAGATGAAGACGTGTATCAAAACATCGAATCATCTTCTGAGTTTCAACTCTACATTAGACAAAGCTTAAATAAAGTTGAATTATTTTTCTTTAACATAATTTCAACTGGCTATGTAATGTCTCTCTCTTTCATTTTCACTGAAGAGAACAACTATACATAACAACTCTTAGTTTCAGAGCTTTAACAAGATCTGTCTTTTTATATAAGTGTGTATGTTGTTTGTTATTTCTCTAGGTACTTGATATTGGTAAAATTATATTTCTTGTAACATGCTCTTTGTGGCCTCCTCAAATAGTTTTATAGGCTGAATAATGTAACTGTTTAGAGACAACGTTCTTCAAGTTTATTCATCACAAAGTTCATTATTTGTACACAAAAATTAATAAATTAATCAAAAGTATTAAAAAAAGTTGATTTCCTTTTGGACAAAACAAGAGCAACTCCACAAAATGTTGACCAAGCTATCAATATTTCGTGGCGAATCCTTTGTTATCGATCACAGCCTTGCATCTTTTGGATTTGTTCAAACAGTTGATCCTTATTACGAACACCTTCACAATTAATTCTGCGGTTGACAATCTCCCACAGGTTCTTGATAGGGTTGAGATCAGGAGATATGGCGGCCATTACTCCACCATGCTTCACGGACTTATGGCAGTAACGTAAATTGAGGCGTTTTCCAGCAGGTCGACGTATACGGCAAATGCCATCGCTCCAAATAATGTTGAACTTCAATTCATCACTAAACATTTCTGCACATTCCAGTCATTATGAGATGTAGCAAACAGAAGTCTTTTCTTCTGGTTCTTTAGTGAAATCAGCGGTTTCTTTTCAGGAGTTCGAGAAAACAATCCGGCTTCAACAGCACGTCGTCTGATTGTTCGGTCCAATACAGGCAGCTCTAATTGCTTTTGTATCTCGGCTGATGATATCCAGGGATCATTCTTGACGAATCTGACGATCATAGAATCCTCTCTAGAAGTGGTGGAACGCGTTCTTCCACCTTTGTTATCTGCTGCCAACTTCCCCGTAGAATGATATTTGGAACATAGTTTTGATACGGTCCATTTTTTCACGCGATGCTTATCACAAATACTTTTTTGTGACATTCCATTTACGTAATCACCAATAATTTTCTATCTTAGTTTTAATTAAAGACTGTCGGGAGCCATTTTTGCACTTGAAGTCATAAAAATAGTAAAAATAAATAATCACGCTTCTCAAGGCTTACCGTGTTACATTTACCTTGTGATGATACAATAATGCTCTAACACAACGTCTTGGTTGGATGTGGACTGTATTGATGTAATGAAATACTGTTTGTATTTTACTTTTTGTATTGATGTTCTTTGATAAAACACTTTAATAAACTGTCTTTATAATACTGACTGATTGACTTCCATATACTGACTGAATTACTTGTCGGTTTACATGTCTCTTATATAGTAAAATGAACCTGTGTGAACCTTTTCTGGAAGATTCTAGATGCTTTTTTTCGATGCTTCTGGAAGCTTCTGGGTACGTCTGGATGCTTCTGAATGTTTCTGGATACCTCTGGATGCTTCTCGATGCTTCCAGATGCTTCTTCTGGAAACTTCTGAAAGCTTCTGCATGCTTCTGGAAACTTTTGGAAACTTCTGGATACTTCCTTTAACTATTAAAAAACTTCCGTGACATTGACACGGACCAGACTTAATAAAATGAAACAAACCAAAAAAGTTGCACTTGTTTTGTCCGCTGCAAAATAGCACTTGTCAACGAAATTCTGCCTGTGTGCTGTCACCTGTAAGCTGACTGCTCATCCCATGGCATGCTATGACTCCAGACTCCTGAACTGTTTGCTGTGGTAGTATAGTTCGTTTCGTTTTTAAAACATGTAAAATTAGGAACACTTTTTTGCATTGATCGATGTTGGTTGCAAATGTTTTGTCCAATACTGTATATATAAGAATAGCGTCAACAATTGTGTAAAAAAATTTAGACATGGAGCAAACTCCAAACATTGTGTAAAAAATGGTTAATATTTAGACATGGAGCAAACTCCAAACATTTATATATTCATGTTTATGTCAAATAAGAATGCCTAGGATAATTTTGTAGACAATGAAAATAATAATAATAAAAAACATTTTATTTACATTTCGAATGAAATGTAAATAAAATGTTTTATATTTTTTAAAGTAGAATGAACTTTGAACAATGAATATGTTTGAGAAACTTTTTAGACAAAAAAAAAACTTTTCTTTGTTTCTGAACATTTCTCATTTCACGAAAAAAAATTTCGCTTCATCGAACAAAACCTATTCAAAACAATTTTATGGTAAAAATAGTAATTGAACCCGTCATTTTGAAAAGGGCACAAGTCACACTTTTTTCAAATTTCACTTTTTAATGCAATTTTATTTATTCAAGTGTTTTACATATTCCCTTTGAAGGAGAAACATTTTCATATGCCACAAGTCAGCTTTAAATGCAAATGAAAATTAAAGTCTGTTTGAAAATGGCACTAGTCCCGGACTTATGCCTTTTTCAAGTGAAACAAAGCGCAACTGTAGTGACGTAATTTCACTTTTTTTGTAACAAAAATGGAAAATCGCGAACTTCCTGAAAATGCATATAGATCTAGAAAAAGAGTGTCTGGTATAAGAAACAGTGGAAATTATAAACACAAAAAAATAAAAAAAAGCCAAAATTGCTGGAGAAACTTATAAAAACCACAAAGGAAATGATGTGGCACCAAGTCAAACGGGTGCTTCTTGTAGGTTAGTTTTTTGTTCTTTAGAGTATGACTATATTTGTTCTCAAATTTATGCTTATTTACTCATGTTTTACCACCAATAATTGGGGGTAAAACATCTTGATATATAATTATTATATTTTTACATTATTATTATTATTATTATTATATTATTACAATATTACCTCAATAATTCTATTTATTTACAGATGTAATTCAAAGTGTATGGAGCTTGTATCTGAAGATTTTATAGAAAGTACAATTCAGTTTGTTAACAAATTTGATTGTAAAAATGCTCAAGACACATACTTGCAGTCATTGATTGAAAAGAGGGAAGATGGTTTAGATCTAAAGAACCTAAGAAAAAAGAATTTTCTTTTTTTTATCACATTTAGATTGAAGGTGTGATAAGAAAAGTGCGCAAGAAATCTTTTTGCTGTATGCATGGAATTTCTATGAAACAAGTTAGACATTTATGCATTTTATTTAAAAAAAAGAGCAGCCTATAGATTACAGAGGTAAATCTCTGTGATCACGATGCAACGCATTACCTGGAGATACATTAACAAAAGTACGTGAGCGAAGTATGTACCTTTGTGCTGAATTATATTTTTAAAAATATTGGCAACAAAGCCAAAGAACTGCACCTATTTTCTGATGGTTGTGCAGGCCAAAACAGAAATCATGCCACGGTCCGAATACTTTCATCAATGGTAGCTGAACTAGATAGCAATATAAATGAGATACAATATTACATACCAAAAAGAGGTCACTCATTCTTGCCAAACGATAGAATGTTTGGAACAGCAAAACGACATTCAAAAAAATGATCGGATTTACACACCAACGATGTAAAAAAATGGTGGCTAAACCATTATAAGAAACTTGTGCTATCTGTGAATTCCTATAAAAAAGGAGTACCCAAGGACAAAAAACTTACTTTTGGTATTTCTAAAATTTCACATTTCACATTCTCTAATACCACAGCAGGTTTAGTGAAAACATGTGAATCCATAGATTGCTTAGTCAGTTATAATTTCCAGCTATTACAAAGGATGGGTACCCGGTCAACTTTACCATTAAGTAGTACTCCTGCATATGTTGGAAAATTACCTATCAATGAAAAAAATATATCAGATTTGAAAAAAATTTGAAAAAATATATTCCATATTCAATAGAAGAGTACCAAAACTTCTATACAAAGGTTTTTGCTTCGCCAACAACTTCGGCAAACAATGAATTCCGAGAAATAAAATATTGATGATTACCTAACAATAAATGTTTTTGTATAATAATAAATCATTA